AACAACCTTCAGAAAGAGCCCGAAAAAACCCACAGCAACCATTAGACCTACTGGTGTTTCATCTCACCTGAAACACAACATGAAAATTCCCAAGTTAAGCTTGAAGTTGGGCAATGTGTGGGAGACTTTAGACTTTTCAGGTTTAAAAAGAGGTTGCAGGAGTTCTGGGAATACGAGTTGAGAGAGGCTTGTGGCTACATATGACACCATCTACTGGTAAAATATTTCACTTGCAGCCTTAAATCATCCCTATTGTCATATAAGGAGGATGCTTTGGGTCCATCTTGCTTGCATTCATGTTATGCAGAAAAAATGTTTCTTTTGCAACATGGCACAAAGACTTTCCTGGGCATTTCCTGTAGATGTCACTCTTGTTTCTTGTTTTGCTTTCTGTAACACACACACACAAACACATAGGAGAAGCTGACATACAATGCATCCACTCATATGTGAGTTCTTTGAGGTCCCAAATGTTACTGTCTTACAGTTCCCATCATCTCTGGTCATAATCCATGCCAGTTAGGAATGATGAAAATAGCAGTCCAGAACAAGTGGGTCAAATCAAGCCTGAATTCTCTTTAGAGTCAAAAATGTTGAAACTGAGGTTGCCTTACTTTGGGCACATTATGAGAAGACACGATTTTCTGGAAAGACAATAATTCCAGGAAATGTTGAGAGCAGTAGGAAAAGAGGAAGACCAAATAGGAGATGGATTGACTTCCTAAAGGAAGCCACAGGCTTGAGTTTGCAAGAGCTGAGCAGGGCTGCTGAGGACAGGACATTTTGAGATCATTCATGGGCTTCACCATAAGTTGGAAATGACTTGACAGCACATAACAATTAGAACAATATGTGAAGAAGACCTATGGTCGAGAACAATGTGGCAGTAGCTCTTCCCAGCCCCAGCAGGCCAATTCATTGGGATTGAACTTGAGACCTTCAGTATGGAAAGCAACACACTCTGTAAAGATACGCACACATATCTGAGATTCAGCATTATTTCTGGGGCAGGAGGTAGAGTCCCAAAAAGAAAATCAGAACTTGGTAAGGTATTTGTTAGGACTACAGTTCCCAGAAACCCTCAGCTAGCATGTTGAACAGCCATGCTGGCTAGGGAATTCTGGGATGTGTGGTCCAAAAAACTGAAATGTCCAAACTCCAAATTTGCCCTATTTTCCCATGCTAAGTTGGATAACACAGGGGGCTTCTACTCACGAATGGGAAGGGAGGGAGGGAGAATTTGACTTTTTCAGTAAAACAAAAAGAGGAGAATGGGTGTTTGAGTGCGGCCACAATTATCAACAGGATTCGTATTCATCATACTCTGTGGATGTTGTGCTCTTCCAAAGGCTGAAGAGATGCTTTACTGAATTTGAATATTGACTAGATTAGCTTGCCCCAGTGTGGCACTGTCCAGATGTGCTAGGCTACAGCTACCATGATCTCCTGTCCATAAACTTCATTCTAGAAACTCTTGAGTAAACTCACATATTTTGGCCTCGTTTCCTCTCTCTGTCAAAAATGATAAAATCAAAGTGGATTGATGCAAATATGTTTCCATCCATAAACTTCATTCTAGAAGCTCTTGAGTAAACTCATATATTTTGGCCTCATTTCCTCTCTGTCAAAAATGATAATATCAAAGTGGATTGATGCAAATATGTTTCCTGCTTGAAAGCTGTACTTTCACTTTGTCTGAAGATTCCATTTAAGTGTTTATTGTGATACAGTCTTGAACATATATTCCAGCCAACACCGAAGGGACAAGGTACACTGTGGGGGAAGAAATATGTTACAACAGGAAAAGTGTTGCATTTAGTTATCTCACAGAGATGGCCGATGAGTAGCTCTCCCAGTATTGTTGGAGTGCAACACCACACATTCCCAGCTGGTGGTGTAGGACGCTGGAATCTATGTCCCAACAATGTCTGCAGGACTGCATGTCTCTTCTCCCTTGAGGTAAATGCACTGGAAACTGAACAAATTTAAAGCAAGGTGCTTCACGCAGTACACATTAGCAACTGATAGAATTCTTTGCCACAAGATGTCTGTTAGAGCACTAGAAAAGGATGAGGCTGTTTTGTAGACGTTACGCCTAGCAATGGCCATGACAATGCTGATTTCACAGGAATGGTGAATCTGCTCTAGGTTTTACAATGAACTTTACAGGAGGAGCCCAATGTGTGGAATCCAACCTCCTAAACAGGTTCAGCACTTTCGATATATCCTTTAAAGTTCTTCCGAAAACCCAGAATGGAGTCATCACACTTCAGAGCCAGTATGAGTGAAGATTTTTCCCCCAGTATGTTTTGATAAACATTTTGCAAAATTCAAAAGGCGAAACACAAATTCAACCATCACAAAAGAATGGACAGTAATTTCATTTTTGTTCATGTTTAAATCAGAATTACTCAAATTTGTACATTTTAATTTTGATTGAGGGAGAAAGCAAAACTGGGATCCCTTTAGTTTCTTTTTTAATTTATTAGCATTATTAAAATTCATCAAATTTGAATGAGGGGGCATAAAATAGAAACGAACACCTTCTATGTATTTTCTACCTTCCAAATTCAATGATGATGTTTTGGTGGCTGATGGATAGTGTAGTCCAAAGCATCAGAGAGTATCCAGCACAGGAAGACAGCCATAGATAGCAGGGAATTTCTGTCTACAGAATTGAAAATGGTGGGTAAGTGGGTGGGAACGCAAAAGTCAGGTGTCAGATTTTAATCAAAGCTGGATAATTCTGGATCTTCTTACGTCCCAGATCACATATCTGGCTCTTGGCCTCACAATGTTTGGTTCTGTTTGCTGTGCCAACCTACTGTTGTGAAAAACAATAACACTGAGGCGACCTCCATTATATTATCCCAGTTGCTTGACAAGGTCCTGTTCCTCATTCATACAGTCTAGTGTGCATCAGATGAAGACACTGAATGGTTTTCTCAGAGGCTTTTTAAGGGACCATTCCACATCTCGGAACCTTCCTGTATGGAGACTTTTTGAAGTCAGAACCCATGTATTTTAAAAGAAAATTGGCATTCCGGAGAGCATTGTTTTGTTATTGGTTAGGGGAAGGTCATCACAGACTTCATTTGCAAATGTGGTTGCCCCAGCCTTCTGCCTCTTCTGAAAATATATTGTGGAACTAAGTCTTGGCAGGTAACAAACATTTTCCTGAACTTTCAGCTTGAGTCTTGATCTCTGCCTGAGAAACCCTAGAAGTACAAGCTGCTTAGAGTCAGAATAGAATAGATTAGAGTGGCCTTCAGTGTACTCACACAATAGCCTCATGTGTATGGCGGACCTTACCAGTGATGGTGGCAGCGGCATTAATAATAATCTTAATGAGCTGCCACATCATTTCTGACTTACACTGACTCTTTCCAAGGTTTCTGGATAAAGAGCACTTAGAAGCAATTCAACATTTCCTTCTGGGTTTGCTCTGGGATTGTGCAAGTTGTCCAATGTGAAGCAAGCTGGTTCAGTTTGTGGGAAATTGAATTCCCAGCCCCTGGCCCTGTGGTCAGTTGTTTAGCTCACTGAATTATCCAGCCAGTGGCTTTACAGCAGAGGTGGGATTCAGCAGGTTCTCAACACTTAGAAGCAATTCAACATTTCCTTCTTCTGGGTTTGCGCTGAGATTGTGCAGCTTGCCCAATGTGAAGCAAGCTGGATCAATTCCTGGGAAATTGAATTACCAGCTCCTAGCCCTGTGGTCAGTTGTTTAGCTCACTGAGTTATCCAGCCAGTGGCTTTACAGCATACATCATAACTGGTATACACTCTTATTATGGGGTGTACCTGATTGATGTATCCTGTTCAGAGTGAGCAGAGCTCCAATGTGATCTCTGGCTTGCCGTAGTGGAAGTGGAGATCACATCAGTTTAAAGAAGGGGCACTTCCGCTTGTGTAGAATCCCCCCCCCCTTGCGCAAGCTTCATAAAAGAACAACCACTCACTCAGCAGACAATTGCATAAGCAGCAGAAGCCAAGGAAGATACCGGCCATGATTTCTAGGAACACTGCGCCTCTTGTGAGTAGAGCCAGCCTGTGTAGCCTTGGGAAAGCTGCAGAGTCACACAGTGCCCCCAGAAGAAGGGAATGGTAAACCACTTTTGCGTATTTTCTACCCAGAAAATGCTGGAAATATAAGTCAGAATTGATTGGATGGCACATGAGGATGGCATATGAGCCATCTGTTCAGGGTTGTGGAACGCATTTGCATCCAGGGAAAGAAAAACATGTCAGTTTTGCTGTCCCTCAAGTTCATATTTTTTTAACAGCTCATGAAAAAAATTGTGGACATTGCTAAATCCTCCAAAAATGAACTGAAACAAAACAAAACCATCCTCAATCACACCATAGCTCAATTAGTACAGCTATTCCTGACATAGAGAGGATGCTGTCTTATGTACGTGCCAAGCTCAATTAGTACAGCTATTCCCGACATAGAGAGGATGCTGTCTTATGTACGTGCCATTAAAGTGTTAAAGCTAAAGAGTCTCTCAGGGTGGTGGGGAAGAGAGAAAGGCATCAACTTTAATACAGCATTAACATGTCTGAATATCTAGGGTTCAAAGCTAGAATCCTAAGAGCTAAGCCCTCAAAACCCTGGACCTTGTTAGATGAAGCTACTGTTTGGTTGCTCCCACATTTGTATTTTTAAAATTTCAAGTATTGTTCCATCTAGAAAATGAAATCCTTTGCAAATGTTGGTAAATTGCTTTTTCATTAAAATGAAACAGAAAACTCCCTCTTCCTTAGGCTTATTTTTCCCACAGTATGTTCACCCAATGTTTGTGCAGCAGGAATAACACAGGACATGCAGGGGTTTTTTTCTGATTGCAATCAAGCAGCAATAGACCTTTATTTGACAGCCTTCATCAACATCAGAAGGTGATGGCCAGTCATTAATAAAGAAAAGTGAGAACCATGTACTACAAAAAAAGAACCGTAAAGAATGGAAGAGACAAGCAAAAGGGGACAGAGAATCATGGGTTGCAAGGGACCCTTATGGACAGATGGCTAAGATGGAGTTGGATGTCTAGATGAAGCAATCTGTTTTGTGGATCCATGCAGAAAATATTGGTAGGCATGCTCCTCTTCTGTCCTATCAGCGAAATCCTTTGGGTTTGGAGTGTCAAGGGATGGTAGCTGGCTAATCAGAGGGTTGCCTTCCTATTCCTGTTGAGAAAGAGGGAAAGGGGAGGGGAGACACGTTAGTCTTCAGGATAGATCACAAGAACAGATGAGTGACCAGACTGAAGGACACAGCCCCTTTACCATCAGCTTAGCCTCATCTGTTTCTGAAAGCCTAGGAAGCCCTTACACAAATGTTCAGTGAAGAATCTGGTTCTTCATAATAAAATGACATTTTGCCTGTAAGTGGAATGACCTCAGAGCTTATTTCATTGTCAGCACCACATGATGTGTCTTCTGGATGCTCATTTACTTTCACAGAAGGGAACCTGCTAGAACTGAAATTATAGTATTTCCGAACTGGGGGATAGGATGGAGGAAACTTGCTTTATACTGGGCTTTAATCCAATTTGGGCAATACCTTGATTAGGGACAACCAAAATGACATAAGAGTGCACAGACATTCTGGCTGGTGTAAAATGAAGGTCTAGCCCAGGGCCAAGCAAGGAGGGAGGGCATCTCATCCCAAAGTGATGGGAAGAGATGACTTCCCTGCTTGGTCCATGGGTCACTGGTAGCATTGATCAGCTGTGCACCTTTTTTCTACTGACTGGCCCATTACCTTTGGTTTTTAAAATTTTTATTTGATTTATTTTTCTTATGTAGCAGGCTTGGCCCAAGAAGGGGCTGCTTGGAACCAGGTGTATTTAGTTCTCAGGGCTCTTTGCAGGATCAGAAGGAAATACAGATGTGCAACAACCATCCTTGCCATCACTGGGTTCTCTTAAATCCTGTAGTTTGGGCAGGTCTAAGATAAACATTAGCCATTTGGCCCTCTGTTCCTTTGCTAGCTGGACCCAGTAGCTTTGTATCCTTTGCCTGCTGAAGTTCAGCCTCCAAACTGAAACCCAGTCTTCAGTCACCTAACCATCAAGATCTTAAGCTACAGAAGACCCTTCTTCAGGCACTAGATAGGTAGAACCACAGCTTGAAAAAAGGATGGCCAATGGCTATGTTGGCTGGGGGATTCTGGCAGCTTTGATCTTAAAAAGTAGCCCTTCCCAACCCTGGAACAGAACTTGTTGTGTGGGCAGATTGCTCACAGATCCTGATGGGTAGTGATTCCACATGCAAGTGATTTCTTGCACAAGCAATGTGCATTGCTCTGTAGTTCAGTCAATGATGGCATCTGAGGGCTTGCATGTGTCACCTTTCACAGTTTGTGAAAGTTCTGCACATCTTTCCCACAGTGTCGAGCAATAGCATCCCATTTGAAGCAGTCTTTACAGATCAAGAACCACGCTCTTGTAATCCTTCTCATTCTCACCTCCTTTGGTAGTGTAGGTGTGTGAACGTGAACTGCTGTAGCTTATTCCACCTCCTCCGATCTGGGCGCCGCTGCTACCTCCTCCTCCAATACCTCCTCCGCCAATGCTTCCTCCACCGATACTTCCTCCTCCAAGGTCTCCACCACCTATGCTTCCTCCACTGATGCCTCCTCCACTTATACTTCCTCCGCTGATGCCTCCTCCACTCATACTGCCTCCGCCGATGCCTCCTCCACTGATGCCTCCTCCGCTGATGCCTCCTCCACTGATGATGCCTCCTCCACTGATGCCTCCTCCACTGATGCCTCCACCGCCTATGATTCCTCCGGTTCTGCCGATGCTTCCTCTTCTACCCCCGCCATAGCTTACTCCTACTGAAGAACTGCAGAGAAAGAAACATGATAATAAATTTTCACAGCAAACTTTTTTCACAGAGAAAGAAGACCGTAACTGAGTGAGATTTGTGACCAGTTCATCAACCTCCAGGCCTCCTCCATGTCCAATATGGACATTTAGTGTGGCAAAAAAAAAAACCAAAACATCCAGCTGAGAACATGGAGAGTTGCTGCCAGTTTGAGTTGGCATTGCTGGTCTAGATCAGGGAGGGAGAAACTTTTACTCTCTATATGTTTTGCACTTCAGCTTGCAGAAGTTCCAGCTAATGTGGCAAAGCATGAGGAATGATGGGAGTTGTAATTCTGAAGAGTCAAAGATTCTCTATCCCTGAACTAGATTCTCAAACTGCATGGACATGGTAGCCTCACCCACTACAAAGCAGCTGTCATTTTCATTCATCTGGCCATTGACAATTTTCCCCCTTAACATAGATCAATAAATATGTAGCTACACAAGAAGTCTGATTCTGTTTACAGTTAATACTTTACAGCATGGAATTCACTGGTGAAATATTTCCAATGGCCAACCTACATTTCTTGCTGCCCTTCCTCAAGCAGCTGGCGGTACTGGCCGATCTCCTGTTCCAGACGGGTCTTGATGCCGAGGAGCATCTGGTACTCCTGGTTCTGACTCTCGATCTCAGTTCGGATGCTGGCGAGTTCTGATTCTACTGGCTCAATCATGCCCTGTATCTGTTGTAGCTGCAGATTGTACCGCCGTTCCGTGTCTTCCAAGTTGTTTTGTAGAGACTGGATCTGGTATGAGAAAGGAAACATAGAGGACATCATCTTCAGAGAAGGGAGAGGTGTGTCTTAAGAAAACGCAAAAAACAGCATTGCTTTTAGGAGAAAGAGGAACACTGAAATATAGCAACACAACTGAGGAGAAAACCAGACATAAGGGACTTCCTAGAGGTTTTACATTTCATCATCCCATGTTATCACTTACCATGCTGAGCTGAGACTGAAGCTCAATCTCCAGGGTCTGAAATTCTCGTCTCAGTTCAGAAACTTGTTGGTTGCTCGAAGTTATCTCCTGACCACTTGAAGTGACCTGTTGGCGGACCTCCTCCATCTAAAAGACACAAACAAAGATTTATGGAGCCCTTTGCATATACAGATAGACAGAGAAACATGTGGACATAAAGGAGATAAAAATACAGGCCTTGTGTGGGATTTGGCATGCATGCATAAATGTCTGTAGAAATATTTTATATAGTTTCGTGATTTATGGAGCCCTTTGCATATACACATAGACAGAGAAACATGTGAGCATAAAGAAGATAAAAATACAGGCCTTGTGTGGGATTTATTTATGGAGCCCTTTGCATATACAGATAGACAGAGAAACATGTGGACATAAAGGAGATAAAAATACAGGCCTTGTGTGGGATTTGGCATGCATGCATAAATGTCTGTAGAAATATTTTATATTTCTGTATATAGAATATTGCTAAATGAATTTGAATTTATTCACTTTATGGATCGTTTAGATTATTTCTGCCCATGTCAGTTTGCTATGTATTCATTCATTAAAATGTCCCATCCTTTTTTCTCATTAGTTCTGTGTCATTTTAAAAGTGACAGCAAAAATCCATATTTAATTCTGTAATTTTGAAACTGGACCATTTCTTTTTGCATATCTATACAAAATTGTTCTTTCAGGGTGGATTAACCGGCAGGGGATAGTTTCGATTGGCCCTTCATAGGGGACAGTCCTCTATTTGAAGCCCTTCTCTGCTTGAAGAGCCCTCCAGTCCAAGTCCAGTTTAAGGATCAAGAACCCGAAGACAGAGCAGCAGAACAAGGGCCATGAAGTTCACCAGCAACAATTAACAGCACCAAGAAAGCTGGTGCTTGGGTATGCTTGGGCATACAGGTCACTGAATCACAGTTTTCTCTTCTGAAACATCTTGTATTTCTACTCTAATTACAGTAATTACAGTATTTCTAAATTCGATTCTGTACATCTGTATTAGGATATGCACAGTTCACAGAAATCTGTGTCCTGTTTTGTCCTCTTTCTCCAAATGTGTGTAAACCTTGTGGTGATTCCTGCTGAGGATATGTACAGCATGGGGATTATACCCAACAATGGCTGGTAGTCAAGATGGCTGCCATATTTTTCTGTGTGTACGACACCCCAATGTATAAAATGACACCCTAATTTGGACCCTTGCTAGAGGCGGAGGAGCAGTTAATGGGCAACTGCTCCTCCACCTCCGTCTCTCCTGCTCCAGTGCAACTGCTTTCCCTCCACCTCCTGCTGCCTCCACCACCACAGGGGAGAAGGCGGACGTGAGCTGGAGGTGAGCCCGGTCAGTCCCACAGGAGGAGGTGATCAGGCGGGCGGGGGAGGTAGCAGCAAGAGGTGCCCGAGCGTGTGTGACTGCTCGTTTGCCTCCATCTCCTGCTGCTACTGCCTCCGCCACCAGAGGGGACAAGCCTTGAACCCTGGAGGAGGCAATTGGGCAGTGGCAGCGGCAGCAGCAAGAGGCACCTGAGCACGTGCACGAGTGCTCCTTTGCCTCTGCCTCCTTCTGTGTATAAAAGGACCCTCAATTTTTCCTCTAATTATTTTAGGAAAATTGTCATTTTATACACAGAAAAATACGGTTGATATGGCCTCTATTAATAGAGTGAAAAGTGCCTCTGTATATCAGTTGCTTGGGAACATGAGATGCAGAGGCAATTGCACCTCTGTCCTGATGCTGAGTTTTCCAAAAGCAGCTGGTTGGCCCTTGTGTGAACAGAATATTGGCCTAGATAGGACTTTGGGCTGATCCAGCTAAGCTGTTCTTATATTCTCTATATTAATATAAAACTTTAAAAGAACAGTGGTGCCTCGCTTAACGATTGCCTCGTTAAACAATAAAACCGCTTGACGATGAAGTTTTTGCAATCACTTTTGCGATCGCAAAATGATGTTCCTATGGGGAAAATTCGCTTAACAATGATCGGTTCCCTGCTTCAGGAAACAATTTTTCACTAAACGACGATTTAGAAACAGCTGATTGGCGGTTCTAAAATGGCCGCCCACTGTGCAAAATGGCTCCCCACTGTGTTTTCAGGATGGATTCCCTGCTTTACAGACAGTGAAAATGGCCACCCCTATGGAGGATCTTCACTGGACGGTGAGTTTTCAGCCCATTGGAATGCGTTGAACTGGTTTCAATGCATTTCAATGGGCTTTTTCGTTTCGCAAGACAATGTTTTCGTAAGACAGCGATTTTTGCGGAATGAATTAACATCGTCTTGCTAGGCACCACTGAATTGCTTGGGGTTTTTTTGGGGGGGGGAATAGAACTCCCAGAATACCACACCCTTAATGGACAATGGATGTTGCATTACTCCTATCCTTTCGAAACTCCCAAGCACTGTATCAGCAGGAGGAGTAAACACAAGCAATATTCTACTTGCCTTGCTTTCATACCAGCTTTCCACCTCTCTGCGATTTTGCTCAATGATGCCTTCATATTCAGCCCTGAGCTGATCCAAACGTTGCTTCAGATCCGTGCCTGGGGCAGCATGCACCTCAACATTGACATCGCCACGACCACGCTGACTTTGAAGTTCTCTCATGGTCTGCAATGAAAGGAAAGATGAAAAAAAAACCTGCACCAGAAATATGATTCTTAGCTGTCACAACAATTTCTGCCGCTGACACTAGCAAGATTGTGCAAAGATTGATCTGCTCCGCAGAATAAAACTGGATGAGGGATGAGAAAATGAAGCTGTAGGACAATTCATCAGAAAGAAGTTGGCTTGCAGAAGAGATTCTTCACTGGAAGTTTGAAAAGCAGTGATCAACTATCTGATGTCCTCTGTTGGTCTGCAGAGAAAGACTGGAATTGATGGGTGGGAATGGAAAGAAAAATTTCAGCTGAATTTCAGGAGAGAACAGTAGAAATAGTAAGAGTTGTTTGGCAGAGGAACAGACTGCCTCAGGGAGTGGTGGGCTCAGCGGACATGTTTAAAGAAATTTTGGACAGAAATCTGTCAGTGATGCTGTAGTTACATCCTGAACTGAGCAAGGGTTTGGCCATCATGATCCTTTCAAGCAACATGACCCCCATGCTGCTTGAAAGCTATCCAGCCCCTTAATCCACATTAAGAGCTGATACAGCATAGGATTTTACAGGAGGGGGAAGAGAGGAAGAGGAAGAGGAAGCAGAGTTACCTGACAGGCAGAACAAATGTTTAATAAATACAGAGAGCTCATCTGGTATTGTATAATGTATTTCTTTTGGGATTTGGACCATTTTTTAAAAGGTTGGTGGCTACATGCACAGTTTAGAAAAGTTGCCTCTTTGGAAAACAGCTCCCAGAATTTTCAATCAGAATTGTGGGAGTTGTGGTCCAAAAAAAAGTAACTTGCCAAACCTTGGCTATATATTACCTGATAAATCTCATAAAAGACTAAAGGTACAATCAGAAAGCAACAACAGATGATCTCTGATCACATCTGAAGGGGTCACTTTGCAATCTCTCTTGAAGTGATGCTTCTGTCCTTCCTGTAACGGCTCCATTCCAGCCTCCCAAGAAGAGTGGTTCTAGTGCTGGACCAAAAAGGCCCAGATTGGGCATGGATTGATGGGCGTCCTGCCATCACTGGAAAACGGTTCTCAGCCGTCTGTGCCACAAGCTGCTTTCCTGTCTGATTGTAACCTAACAATAGTATATTTCTGTTCATGGTTAATGGCAATGCTTACCTCATCATGGTTCTTCCTGAGAGTGATCAGCTCCTCTCTAAGAGTCTCATACTGTGACTCCAGATCAGCCTTAGCAAGAGTCAGTTGATCCAACAGAGGGCGCAGCCCATTGATATCAGCCTCCACATTCTGGAGGAGAGTGTTCTCAGTTTGATACCTAAGTCGTAGGAAATAGATGAGAAAGAACTATGACTGACAGTAAAGACCTTGCAAATGCATAGATAGATAAATGACACATACGGAGATAGGTTAAAAAGCAACAACCTCTGATCAGAATTGAGCAGGCCCATTGGCCAAGAAACATGTGTGGCAACTATTGAATGGGAGGAGGGGGTGGAAAACTGGTGCAGGGAGAAAGTGAGTGGAGTGCAGTGGAAAAGAAAATGACTAGATAGTGCCTCAGACCCAGAACAGGAGTACCCTGCACTGCAACATTTTGTCACAGATTCAACTTGGCTTTGTTATTATTGTCAAAAAAATATCAGATGCTCATTAGAACAATATCTTTCTCAAGTAATAATGGCAAACGGCATCCAGTTGAAAGAACATAGGTGAAAACTGGTTGTACTCACTTCAGTTTAAAATCATCAGCAGTCATCCTGGTGTTATCAATCTGCAGAAGTATTTTATTATAATCATCTGTTTCAGCAATAAGCTGGAAGGGAAGAAGGGAAGGATTTATGTTTATCCAAGCTGATTAACTGTCCCTATGGATATGGTAATAACTCTAAAAAAACACAAATAAAGTTGAGGGGCTAAACCTATGTCTGGATACCATTTGGGACCCGTGGGGATTGGTGAATCTGTTTTCTCAGGGATGGTGAATCACTATCTTGGTTTCAGGCTGAACATTGCCAGAATTATTCAAGGTGATAAACCGTAGGCTAGATTCATTTGAAAGGTCTTTTGAAGTTCAGAGTAAAACCTTCACTGTGCCCAGAAAATCGGTCATCGACAACCTCTACTGGTGCGATCAGGACTTGTAAGAAAACTTCCACACACATAGAAAATTAGATGGAGGAAGGATATGAGCTGAGTTTTGTTCTTAACATGTGAATTTTCTCTCTGTGTGTAGAATCATTTTGTTATATGTGTCCTCAACTTCAGTGTGAAGTGGTACATGCTAGATCAGAGCAATAACTGGATGAGATTGGGCTTTTGCAACGATACAGGAAATGTCACTGCATGATATCATGAGGCAGGGTTTCAGCAACAGTTGCAAAATTGTGCATGCAAGCAATACAGAGCAATATGGGCAGAATGGAAACATATTGACCTAAATCCATTTGTTGCTCCCAAACAGAGTAGACCTGTTGGATCAAATGAACTTATATAAATGTTGACACACCAGATTCTCATTGATTCAATGAACCTAATAAAGTTGGGACCAACACTTGGATTTTGACAAATGATGAATTTAAAGACCAGCATATTGCTACTAAGAGTCCGATGCCCAGAGTCTTTGGGGGAAGACTTGAAAATTGCAATGGACAGTGAGAAGCAAGGATACTGTTAAAAGGAACACTGCTTTCTGAAGTAGAAGGAGGACAAAAGGAGGAATTTCTCAGAAGCCAGGAGAGTAAACTACTAAACCTAAGCTTGTCAGGTTCACAACTTTTGAGCATGTCTAAATGGCATGTGCTGAAATGGGAGAATGAACCCCAAAATATAAAATTTACAGACTGGCTGCATATTTTCTCCTAAGATTTCACGTTCAAAGCTTTTCATTTCTCACTTCTCAAAGAGTCTCAAGACCAAAGACTGTAATATGGCAGTCTAAGGAAGTATTATACCACTAGTATGTATGAAGAAAGTACAGGTAGCAGCAACTCTTTGTTCAGAAGACTCTTTTTCTTTTCTTTTTCAAAACCGGCTTTACAGCAGAATAGCAACCAGTTGTCTTCTGCATTAGAATATCATTTTTGCCTGTTGCTTCTTTGTTTCCTTTTAACGTGATATATTATCAGCTTTTATCTCTTCCTAGTTTCAACCCTAAAGAATGTCTTTCTAAAGCACCTGTCTTTTATTTATGATATTCTCAATAAACCATTTCTCTAAAACAGGAATCGGCATCTGTGGCCCTCTCAGTGTCATTGGGCTCCAATACCTAGCTGCCCCTTCCACCATGGCTAATGGTGAGGGATCATGGGAGTTGCAGTCCAGTGACATCAGGAAGGCCACATATTTCCCACCTTTGTTCTATGAGCTTGTTTCCTTTGTTTCCTTTCAGTACATTAATGAACAGCTGCAGGGCATACATATTTCAAATATCCATGCCTCACCCCCCAACATTAAAAGTGAGCATGACTACCTTAAATATTGATTCAATTATACATCATTTCTCGGGTTAATAAAGAATGGATCATTCAACATTCAAGGCTTCATAGCACCTGTTTTAAAAAATGATAGCATACCTCATTGTAGCATTGGTCAATTTCTTGGTAATATTGAGTGTAATCCCTTATGGGGCCAAGTTCTCCATACTTCTGGTACCAGTCTCTGATGTAAATCTCAAGCTGAGCATTTTCTTCTTCTAGGGTTTTCACCTTGCTCAGGTAGTTAGCCAGGCGATCGTTAAGGTGCTGCATGGTTGACTTTTCATTGTTGGAGAGAAGGAGACCATCGCCACTTCCTGTACTAAAACCGCCGCTGCTGAATGGGTAGTAGCCGCTGCCAGTGCCAAAACTACCACCCCCCAAGCCTCCGCCACCGTAGCCTCCATAAGAAATACCACCACCATAACCACCATAACTGCCACCACCGTAGCCACCTCCTCCATAGCCACCTCCTCCATAGCTACCTCCTCCATAGCTACCACCTCCATAGCTACCACCTCCATAGCTACTTCCTCCGTAGCAAATTCTCCCTCTGCTTATTCTTCCACCACTACTGCTACTGAAACCACCACCTCCATAACCAGACCTGGACCCTCCTCCATAACTTCTTCCAGAAAATCCTCTTGAGCTTGAGATCCTAACGCTTCTGCTACTTCCACCACCACCACAAACTCGGCCGCCACTTCCACTGATGGTGCAGCCTCCACCGCTTATGCTCCCTCCACTGCTGCCACCGCCCTTCACACCATAACTCATGATGAAAGATGTTTAGAGTCCAAAAGCCCACAGAAGCCCTGCTTTAGCTGCACAGCCTGGTATTAGGATACTGACTGCAAAGGCTTCCTCTTGCATGATCCATATTTATAGCTCCCTTGAAGGGTGTTGCTACCAAGGGTGTTCCCTGCTCCTCCCAGGGCATTTGCCAATCCCCTTGTTTATGCCAACAATTATCTGCCAAAGAGAACAGGGTTGTTTTTTTTAAAGAAGCTATCAAAGGGAATCTAATATATAGCTGGCATTTTGTCACTCAGAATATTTTAGTTGAAATAGAATGTATCTCTTAACAGGATAACTACCTCTCATTCATAAAACCTGCACAATAAAGCAAAACATATCAACACAAAGACACAGTAATTTAAACAGGAATGCAGCACATATCTCCATAGTGGATAAGACTGCCATGGGGCAAGGTGGGTACCTGATCCATCTGCCATCCATGTTCTATCAGTTAAAGGGTAATGCTAAGGCTCCTGCTGTTGCTACATATACATCTCTCCCTTCAACAACATTGGGGTTAGGGCCCCTGGACCTCCATGTAGTTCAAAATCTGAGTACAACTTTTATGCCCCCCAAAACATAGCTACAAAGCATAAACACAGAGAGAGAGACCTGGCCAACCCATGTCAGCCTCCCAGCAGGCCCCAGCACCCTCCGTGGCTGCCATGTGGAGCTGCTATTCCAGAAGAGGAAGATGATCAGGGGCCATCACACTGCCAACAAGAGGGGCCTTGGTAAGCCTGAGACCCACCTTTCTCAGGCCACTTCCTGGAAAGGAATAGCAACACAGTATTTACAATATTTATTTATTTATTTATTTATTTATTTATTTATTTATTCATTCATTCATTCATTCATTCATTCATTCATTCATTCATTCATTCATATATTGATTGATTGATTGAACAAAAATCCGTGTATAAACAAAATCGTGCTTCTCAGAACAATGCAGTTCAAGGGAGAAGTGTACTGTAGTTCTATGTCTTGAAAATAGACCTGGACTGTCCTTCCAACAGAATATACGGCTCCCTTATCCAGAGGCGAAATCTGGACATTCTAATCAGTATTTCAGGATAAATCAAAGAGGAAACATCATCATCATTATAAATAAAATTCCTGCTATTATTTTCATCTTTCCCCGAGGATCCCCTAGGCAACTTCCTCAATGTTAACCCAAAATTGCAACAAAAATAATGACATTTAAAACACACTTTGCCAATTAACAGAACACTCCATCTGTTTACTCCATATTATGGATCAATGGATCACCAAGGTTTATTGCCAGCTAGGGATGTAAATCCTTGCTTGTCTTATTCCTGCACACAAAGCCAAACAACTGCAACATTCCTCTCCTCACTGGCAATGATGGTGAGAAGATACCTGGTGCTCTCAAGAGACCCATTGAATTGTTGAAAATAATGGTTTTCACAAATTGATACCCGTTTTTGTGCAAAACTGCAATTTGCGCAATTGTATGAAGTGCACAAATTGCTTGCTATTTGGAGGACTGCTGCATTATTTAAGCATTTTGATCACTAAATGGGTTGTTTGAATCTTTCTTAGTAGTCAGTCATCTGTGCTTGCTGTGTTTGTGTTCTTTGCTTCTCAAAGGAAAATAATATTTTATGCAAATTACGGAGACGTGGGGTGGTGGGGAATCCCTTTGGCTTGCTCTCAGCTGGGGACAAGGAAGCTCATGGGGCTTTAAAATTGCTCCCTGAGGTGTCTTATCATGTTTAGATGACCTAAATAAATAAGGTTTAGTGTATAGTAAGAATAGTGTATGTTTGTTTTTTAATGTTTAACTTATTGTGTTGTTAATTTTATTATTCTTAATATTGTGAGCTACCTTGGGTCCCCTTATAGAGAAAAAGGTGGCCTATAAATAAAACAAGTAAGAATAAATAAGAAAGAGGCATTTAAAATGTATCATTCCCAGCCCTACTTACAGTACAGGATTGTAGCCTAAATCACTGAAAGGACATGCAAAATTCCAGCACAAGAAGTTCATGCAAAAGAGAAGCACAAAAGCAACCATGCAGGCTCAGGTCTTGAGCTGGAACTATAGTCCAAAAAGTTACATTTACGAGATCCATGGTAAAAGGTAAAGGTTCCCCTTGACAATTTTTGTCCATTTGTGTTCGACTCTAGGGGGCGGTGCTCATCCCCGTTTCCAAGCCATAGAGCCAGCGTTTGTCCGAACACAATCTTCCGTGGTCACATGGCCAGTGCGACTTAGACACGGAACGCTGTTACCATCCCACCGAGGTGGTCCCTATTTATCTACTTGCATTTGCATGCTTTCGAACCGCTAGGTTGGCAGGAGCTGGGACAAGTGACAGGAGCTCACTCCGTCGTGTGGATTCGATCTTACGACTGCTGGTCTTCTGACCCTGCAGCACAGGCTTCTGCGGTTTAGCCCGCAGCGCCACCACGTCCCCTACAAGATCCATGAGAGGGCCCTAAATCAATCAGGAGGTTGAAACAGGTTAAAGGAACGACAACGATAACACATATTTGCTATCCCCTTAAAATTCAAGAGAACTGATTATTTGGAAAGTTGTCATGCACTCATCTAACACACACCTCCCTCTCTTATGTTTCTCAACAATTATTCATAGAAGATTATTTGTATTGAAATGGATTAGACAGATAAACAAATGGGCATTTTCTACAGAGCGTTTACCAAAGCATTACTCAGTCAGCAATAATAAGTTAGCACACAGCTGCTGAACCTGAGAGCATGTTTTTAATTAAGGATGGAGCAGTCTGTGGTGTCTTGGTGTTGTCTGGGTGCTGCTGAATAGCTAAAGATTTAAGGAGTGTTGTTGTAAAGCACATGTTCTTTAGGTGTCTGCTTACCCCTTATTTTGAGGGGTTGGAGGCCAGTTTTCCCCCTTGGGTCATACAATTCAACAAAGAAAGAAAGAAAAGAAAAGAAAAAGAGAAACCAGAAGTGTCCTGACGTCTACTTTCAAGTTGGAAAAAATTAATATTAGTCCTTAAATACTACAACATGTATTATGGCATCACATTTTGTGCAGTTGATTCTACAAAATCTTAATCATCGTCATCATCACAGGTTGTTTTGTACTCACAAGAGGCACAGTGGGGAATCAAACTCTCAACTTCTGGCTCTGCAGCCAGATACCTAAGCCACTGAACTATCCAGCCAGCTGGTAGGATCTTACACTAAAATCTTACACTCTAATAATGCATGTGCTCTTCTTTCAGGTGACCTTCTTTCCATGGCTACCCATGGATAAGCCTTTACAGCAAGAATGGCAAACTTCTCTTGTTAGAGTGCATCTCCCACCGTTCCTCACTATTTGTCATGCTGACTAGGGCTGATGGGATTTGGAGTTCCACAACATCAGGTGAGCCACAGTCTTTCCCATCATTGTCGTATATACATCTGGGTTGACATGCATAGAAGATAAAGGGTGGGTGGACATAACTTTCATCCATTATTTCCATATTTTATTATTAGCTATGTGGGCTAAATGTATGGAATTTGATTTAAATACAGTCATACTTAAAGCAGATTCACAAAAATAAATGGGGTATCATAACTAACTTACCTCACATATATTTCAGGTAAATCCATGGAAAAATACAGGTTAGTTGAGTTGCCATGACTCAACTTCCAGATAACCTCACCTGGATGACTGAGAATCTTCATAGATACAGGGCATTAAGTTCATTGCGCCCAACTGAAATCCTATTGATGTCAATGTGTCTACTCTTATCAAGGCTTTTATGTCCAGTTTTCTTGCTAAGTAAGCATGGCAAGGTTGTCTACAATGGACTTCAGGCTGGAATGTACTGTTCATTTGAAAATACTATGATGAAAACTTCACAAGTTCCTTGTAGAGCAAGTGATTTAATGCAAGTGACCTCCAAAGGGTTGCTTGTATTCAGGTGTGTTCAAGATGGAGCTTGCTGATCTTGACATCTAAATGAGGTAATGATGCCCCCAGGCTTTGTTGTTATGCTTTTTTTCCTGATCCGGATCTTGAATCAAATGAACCTTAAGACATTTAAATGGAATATATACAAATAATTTTTAGAGGGCCTTACACTGGTGCTTTATATTTTGGGCAGTGTCTACTTTGATTACATCCAATCAAAGTATTCATTGGCGTCCTTGTCATCTTTTACCCCTAACAATTCCAAACATAACATCTTCCTCCAATGCTGTTGATCGGATATTCATTAGCGTCCTTGTCAATTCCAAACGTAACATCTTCCTCCAATGCTGTTGATCGGATCACATGGCCGAAATAACTACTTCTAAGTTTTGTTATTTTGCCTTCCAGTGACATGTCCGATTTTACCCGCTTCAGCACTTCTTTTTTCGTTATCTTTGCTGTCCATGGAATGCACAAGAGCCTCCTCCAATGTCCATGGAAGGCACAAGAGCCTCCTCGAACACCATAGCTCAAAAGAATCAAGTTCCCTTCTGTCTATCTTCTTCATCGTCCAACTTTCACAGCCATATCTAGTTATGGGGAACACAATGGTGCAAACTAATCTGCACTTGGTTGTCAAGCTGACCACCTTGTTTTTCCATATTTGATTCATACTCATAATTGC